TGTATAATGGTGAGTTTCAGGCAACATTTTTTTCCAAATGACCTACTTTGTACATAGTTAAAAGCTTAGAAATTTAAGGTTACAGTCTTAGGGCATACATGACATTCTGATACATCTATTTTCAGATATTTTTTTTTCATTGCCTTCTCCGAGAAGTAGATCATCAGTGGGTAAATAAAAAAAAATGTATGCAAATTTAAACGTTTTCTTCATTAGGTTGCAGTGAGTTCTCTCAAGATTGACATAATTACAGTAGATGTAACACAGAAGTTACCATATCCTATAAAAAGACCTCTAATTAATGTGGTAAGTATTTGCATTTTATACATGTTATAACATAGAGGTAATTATATACTTTAAATGGAAGACTTAATATTCATTTAATAGATTCAAAATTTTATAGTATATATAGTGCAATATTCCTCCAAACAAGACAGTTAAATTTAACTTAAAAACACAAGGTTTTTGATCTTTTTCAAATATTTTAAAAACATTTAACTTTCCATAGTGAAGAAATATCTTATTGTACTGAGATTTGGTGGTGGAATCTGTTTCTCTTATGATTTTGAGACATTATATAGGCAAACTTTCTTTTTCACTGATTTGCTAAAAGATCTTTTCTTTGATTTTGACATCATCAGGCATGGTAACTTTTTCATGATGTCATTATAGCAAATGTAGAGGTAAGCAAGGAAAATTTAGGTCATTATTTAACTTTAATGTGGTACCAAACACCTTGACTAAAATTAATTTGGCTCGTTCAATTTCATAAATTTTGACAAAATATTTTTACATTAACCCTTTGAAAAAATATAAAAATTTCAAAAAACTTCAACCACACACTTTATCGGAAAAATTTCATTGGATATATAGCACTAATTTTGATCATTGAGAATTGAAGCTTAATATATCCTTAACAATAGAACATGATTAAAACGTTCAGCTGATTTTTACAGAGTTATCTCCCTGTAGTGTTATGTACCATCTTAATCAATGAAAAAGTTCAAGAACTGAGAGCAAACAAACTACACCTTTATTATAGAATAATAATCAACCAGTGGTGGAAAGAATAAACTGGCTTAGAATTAAAGAAAAATATATGTATATTTTTATCATTTACTAGTACTAACTTAAGTCAAAAAAGAAATGTTATTAAATTTGTATGCTTATGTTTCCTTAAAATCCTCAGTATTAGAGTAATCCTATCCTATTAAAATCTTATACTTTTTGTGGTAAATGTAAGTTTGTTTCTCATAGATCACAGGTAGAAATGTACATCTTGAAAAGACCTCCATTCATCGGTGAACACAATGGCTTATAATAAACGTTAAGGTAAAGTTTTGTTAAAATTCTATCAAAACTTACCTGAGAAATCTCTATCCATATGCATATTCCAAAGACATGCTTAAGCTTCAAGAAAAGCACTGAAAATAAAGGTTATACAAAAAACATTATGAACAGCTTGGCTTGCTTGGACTTGAAATTAACTTATAATGATTAATAAAACTATAAAAAGACAACAACATCCTGGATTACTGCATTTCCTTGGATGTTGTTGTCGTTTTATTTTCAGTGTTTGTTCACTTGATGTATATTTTTTGCTTTGTGTTTGTGAACCCCTGCATCCATACTATCCACCTTTGCCAAACAAGCGTTGTGCTATACAACCACACCGCATGGATAACATCACAGACCCCTTCCGAAATTGCTGATTTTCTAGAAAGAAAACAGTAACCTACCACACACAAGATCCAAAGAAGATTACAGAAAAACTTAATGAACTCAGAACCACAAGACATTATTTTCAAAATAAACTTCAAACATTGACAGCATACCAAAACCGCAAATATCAAAAGACTTGCCAAAATTTTCACAATGCCCTACATGTGCAACTACCATACATCTCACAATATTCCCAATGCAATTGGATGAAGTACCTCAGAGTGAAGCCACTTGAAATGGTACGGAATGTCCAGTGAGGTGTTGTCTATTTTGGAAAAGATACTGACAATTTATTATTGACTTTTACTTTCACTTTCATTTCAACGTTGTCAAACCAATAATTGTGACGTTACGTCTCTTTAACCTTTTTGTATACCCAACATGAACCTCATTTTTTGTTTCCTATTGTTGAATTGTCCTGAAGATGCCACCATAAGTGGCGAAACATGTAGACAAGAGTGAAGCATTTCCTTGCAGTAATCCATGATGTTGATATATTTTTATACGACCGCAAAAAAAATTTTGTGGTCGTATATTGGTATGACGTTGGCGTTGTCGTTGTCGTCGTCGTCGTTGTAGTCGTCGTCCGGCGTCTTCGTCCGAAGACACATTGGTTTTGGCACTCTAACTTTAGTTTAAGTGAATGGATCTCTTTGAAATTTTACCACAAGGTTCAATACCACAAAAGGAAGGTTGGGATTGATTTTGAGGGTTATGGTACTAACAGTTAAGGAATTAGGGGCCAAAAAGGGTAAAAAAATCAGCATTTTTGTAACTTCCAGACATAACTTGTGTGTTAGTGTATGGATCTCTCTGACATTGTACCACAAGGTTCCATATCACAAAGGGAATGCTGGATCCACAAAATTTTAGGAATTAGGGGCCAAAAAAGGGGCAAAAAACAAGCATTTTTCTAGTTTCATGACAATAACTTGTGTGTAAGTCACTCACTCACACACAGTATGGATCTTTATGAAATTGTATTACAAGGTTCCATATCACAAAGGGAAAGCTGGAATTGAGTTTGGGGGTAATTGCCCAAAACGTTTAGGAATAAGGGGCCAAAAGGGGGCCAAAAATACACATTTTTCTAGTTTCCAGACAATAACTTGTGTTCAAGTGTATGGATCTCTCTGAAATTGTACTGCAAGGTACCATACCACTAAAGGAAAGGCTGGGATTGATTTTGGGGGTAATTGCCTCAAAATTTTAGGAATAAGGGGCAAAAAAGGGGCAAAAAAACAAGCATTTTTCTAGTTTCAGGACAATAACTTGTGTGTAAGTGTATGGATCTTTATGAAATTGTACAACAAGGTTCCATATCACAAAGGGAAAGCTGGGTTTGAGTTTGGGGGTATTAATTGCCCTAAACGTTTAGGAATTTGGGGCAAAAAAACAAGCATTTTTCTAGTTTCCAGACAATAACTTGTGTTCAAGTGTACGGATCTCTCTGAAATTGTACTGCAAGGCATTATACATTGTAACACAAAGGGAAGGCTGGGATTGAGTTTGGGGGTGATGAATCATAAGGGGGTTCACAAAATTTGAGGGGGGATTTTTTTTTCCCTTTTTTTTCTTTAAAATTTTCCATTTTAAATTGGTTATTTCTGATTTATATATTAAAGCAAATAATAATGATATGGTTTGAATAGGTAAATTAAAAAATTCAGTGCTGTATCAAGCTTGAATGTTGTGTCCATAATTTCCCCAACAGTTCAGGGTTCGACCTATGTGGTTGTATCAAGCTGCGCCCAGCGGAGCTTTTTATTATAGTTTTATTTTCATGAGGTTTTTAGACAATCGCAGCATACTTCGGTATCCATTCTGATTACTCTACCAGCTTGTACCGTTTGAAGGTGTTGATTCACTTGATGTATATATAATGATAAATAGAGAATATCATATGGTTTTTTCAATATCACATCCTTATCAACCCGAGACACCAATATAATCCCAAGAGCTCTGCTCGAGGGATTATATTGGTTGAGGGTTGAAACGGTGTGTGATATTGAAAAAGCCATATCATATACACTTTATTATATACATATACCTCACGTAGATGTTTTTTATGTGACATGACGTCATACAGGTAAGGCGGTTTGATGAAGCCTTTGCAACAGTGACTGCAATCGATGACGTGACGTCATACAGATTAAAGGTGTGCTAAAGCCTTTGCAACCGTGCTGATATCAATATCATCATGGGTGGCTGATACAGCACGCTTGGTTTTCGCACTCTAACTTTAGTTAAAGTGAATGGATCTCTATGAAATTTTACCACAAGGTTTAATACCACAAAGGGAAGGTTGGGATTGATTTTGGGGGTTTTGGTACCAACAGTAAAGGAATTAGGGGCCAAAAAGGGGCCAAAATTAAGCATTTTTGTAACTTCCAGACATAACTTGTGTGTTAGTGTATGGATCTCTCTGACATTGTACCACAAGGTTCCATATCACAAAAGGAATGCTGGGATTGAATTTGGGGGTAATTGCCTCAAAATTTTAGGAATTGGGGGCCAAAAAGGGGCCAAAAATAAGCATTTTTAGCTCACCTGGCCCGAAGGGCCAAGTGAACTTTTCTCATCACTTGGCGTCCGTCGTCCGGGGTCGTCCGTCGTCGGCGTAAACTTTTTACATTTTGAACTTCTTCTAGAGAACCACTGAATGGAATGAAACCAAACATGGCATGAATGTTCCTTATGAAGTGCTGACCAAGTGTTGTTACTTTGTAGCCGATCCATCATCCAAGATGGCCGCCAGCGGGGGACTTAGTTTAACATAGGACCCTATGGGAAATGCATACAAATGACTTCTTTTAGAGAACCACTGAATGGAATGAAACCAAACATGGCATGAATGTTCCTTATGAGGTGTTCACCAAGTGTTGTTACTTTGTAGCCGATCCATCATCCAAGATGGCCGCCATCAGGGAACTTAGTTTAACATAGGACCCTATGGGAAATACATACAAATGACTTCTTTTAGAGAACCACTGAATGGAATGAAACCAAACATGGCATGAATGTTCCTTATGAGGTGCTGACCAAGTGTTGTTACTTTGTAGCCGATCCATCATCCAAGATGGCCGCCAGCGGGGGACTTAGTTTAACATAGGACCCTATGGGAAATGCATACAAATGACTTCTTTTAGAGAACCACTGAATGGAATGAAACCAAACATGGCATGAATGTTCCTTATTAGGTGCTCACCAAGTGTTGTTACTTTGTAGCCGATCCATCATCCAAGATGGCCGCCAGCGGGGGACTTAGTTTAACATAGGACCCTATGGGAAATGCATACAAATGACTTCTTTTAGAGAACCACTGAATGGAATAAAACCAAACATGGCATGAACGTTCCTTATGAGGTGCTGACCATGAGTTGTTACTTTGTAGCCGATCCATCATCCAAGATGGTCGCCATCGGGGAACTTAGTTTAACATAGGACCCTATGGGAAATACATACAAATGTCTTCTTTTAGAGAACCACTGAATGGAATGAAACCAAACATGGCATGAATGTTCCTTATGAGGTGCTGACCAAGTGTTGTTACTTTGTAGCCGATACATCATCCAAGATGGCCGCCAGCGGGGGACTTAGTTTAACATAGGACCCTATGGGAAATGCATACAAATGACTTCTTTTAGAGAACCACTGAATGGAATAAAACCAAACATGGCATGAACGTTCCTTATGAGGTGCTGACCATGAGTTGTTACTTTGTAGCCGATCCATCATCCAAGATGGCCGCCATCGGGGAACTTAGTTTAACATAGGACCCTATGGGAAATACATACAAATGACTTCTTTTAGAGAACCACTGAATGGAATGAAACCAAACATGGCATGAATGTTCCTTATGAGGTGCTGACCAAGTGTTGTTACTTTGTAGCCGATCCATCATCCAAGATGGCCGCCAGCGGGGGACTTAGTTTAACATAGGACCCTATGGGAAATGCATACAAATGACTTCTTTTAGAGAACCACTGAATGGAATGAAACCAAACATGGCATGAATGTTCCTTATTAGGTGCTCACCAAGTGTTGTTACTTTGTAGCCGATCCATCATCCAAGATGGCCGCCAGCGGGGGACTTAGTTTAACATAGGACCCTATGGGAAATGCATACAAATGACTTCTTTTAGAGAACCACTGAATGGAATAAAACCAAACATGGCATGAACGTTCCTTATGAGGTGCTGACCATGAGTTGTTACTTTGTAGCCGATCCATCATCCAAGATGGTCGCCATCGGGGAACTTAGTTTAACATAGGACCCTATGGGAAATACATACAAATGTCTTCTTTTAGAGAACCACTGAATGGAATGAAACCAAACATGGCATGAATGTTCCTTATGAGGTGCTGACCAAGTGTTGTTACTTTGTAGCCGATACATCATCCAAGATGGCCGCCAGCGGGGGACTTAGTTTAACATAGGACCCTATGGGAAATACATAAAAATGTCTTCTTTTAGAGAACCACTAAATGGAATGGAACCAAACATGGCATGAATGTTCCTTATGAGATGCTGACCAAGTATTGTTACTTTGCAGTCGGTCCATCATCCAAGATGGCTGCCAGCGGGGGACTTAGTTTAACATAGGACCCTATGGGAAATACATACAAATGTCTTCTTTTAGAGAACCACTGAATGGAATGAAACCAAACATGGCATGAATGTTCCTTATGAGGTTCTGACCAAGTGTTGTTACTTTGTAGCCGATCCATCATCCAAGATGGCCGCCAGCGGGGGACTTAGTTTAACATAGGACCCTATGGGAAATACATACAAATGTCTTCTTTTAGAGAACCACTGAATGGAATGAAACCAAACATAACATGGCATGAATGTTCCTTCTGAGGTGCTGACCAAGTGTTGTTACTTTTCAGTCGGTCCATCATCCAAGATGGTCGACAGCAGGGATCTTAGTTTAACAAAGGACCTATGGGAAATACATACAAATGTCTTCTTTTAGAGAACCACTGAATGGAATGAAACCAAACATGGCATGAATCTTCCTTATGAGATGCTGACCAAGTGTTGTTACTTTGTAGCTGATCCATCATCCAAGATGGCCGCCAGCGGGGGACTTAGTTTTACATAGGACCCTTTGGGAAATACATGAAAATGTCTTCGTTTGGAGAACCAATAAATGGAATGGAACCAAACATGGCATGAATGTTCCTTATGAGATGTTGACCAAGTGTTGTTACTTTGCAGCCGATCCATCATCCAAGATGGCCGACAGCGGGGGACTTAGTTTAACATAGGACCCTATGGGAAATACATACAATTGTCTTCTTTTAGAGAACCACTGAATGGAATGAAAGCAAACATGGCATGAATGTTCCTTATGAGTTGCTGACCAAGTGTTGTTACTTTGCAGTCGATCCATCATCCAAGATGGCTGCTAGGGGGAGGGGCTTAGTTTAACATAGGACCCTATGGGAAATACATAGAAATGTCTTCTTTTAGAGTACCACTGAATGGAATGAAACCAAACATGGCATGAATGTTCCTTATGAAGTGCTGACCAAGTGTTGCTACTTTGTTGCCGATTTACTGTTCAAGATGGCCACCAGGATATTTTATTAAATAACGGGACCAATATTAATCAAAATTTGGCCTCAATCATTATTTGGGTATCTGTTATGATTTTTATCTATCTTTACATGATTTCTAAAACCAAAGTAGAGTCAGGTGAGCGACACAGGCTCTTGAGAGCCTCTAGTTTTAGTTTCCAGACAATAACTTGTGTTCAAGTGTATGGATCTCTCTGAAATTGTACTGCAAGGTACCATACCACAAAGGGAAGGCTGGGATTGATGATGGGGGTAATTGCTTCAATATTTTAGGAATTAGGGGCCAAAAAGGGGCAAAAAACAAGCATTTTTCTAGTTTCAGGACAATCACTTGTGTGTAAGTGTATGGATTATTCTGAAATTGTACTACAATGTTCCATATCACAAAGGGGAAGCTGGGTTTGAGATTTTGCCCTAAATGTTTAGGAATTTGGGGCCAAAAAGGGGCCAAAAAACACATTTTTCTAGTTTCCAGACAATAACTTGTGTTCAAGTGTATGGATCTCTCTGAAATTGTACTGCAAGGTACCATACCACAAAGGGAAGGCTAGGATTGAGTTTGGGGGTGATGAATCATAAGGGGGTTCAAAAAATTTGGGGGGGGGGATTTTTTTTTTTTTCCTTTTTTTTTTCTTTTAAAATTTTCCATTTTAAGTTGGTTATTTCTGATTAATATTTAAAAGCAAATAATAATGATATGGTAGGAGATACACACCAAACAGGATGTGTAAATTATTATCTAATAAGTATTGTGCAATAGCAAGAAATTTTCAATTGCACAGTATTGCACAATAGCAAGAAATCTTCAATTGCACAGTATTGCGCAATAGCAAGAAATCTTCAATTGCACAGTATTGCGCAATAGCAAGAAATATCCAATAGCACAATATTGCGCAATAGCAAGAAATTGTCAATTGTACAGTATTGCGCAATAGCAAGAAATATTTAATTGCACAGTATTGTGCAAAAGAAGATACTTCATATAAATTGCTTATTTCTTGACCAATTTCAATGGGGTTTTATTCTTGAATTCTTGGGGTTCTTTAATATGCTGAATCTAACCGTGTATTTAGTTTTTGGATTTTGGGCCCCGTTTTTAAATTGGTCCACATTGAGGTCCAAAGGGTCCAAAATTAAACTTTGTTTGATTTCATCAAAAATTGAATTATTGGGGTTCTTTGATATGCCGAATCTTCAAATTGGTCTACATTAAGGTCCAAAGGGTCCAAAATTAAACTTAGTTTGATTTTAACAAAATTGAATTCTTAGGGTTCTTTGATATGCTGAATCTAAACATGTATTTAGATTTTTGATTATGGGCCCAGTTTTCAAGTTGGTCCAAATCGGGGTCCAAAATTAAACTTTGTTTGATTTCAACAAAAATTGAATATATGGGGTTCTTTGATATGCTGAATCTAACCATGTATTTAGATTTTTGATTTTTGGGCCCCGTTATCAACTTTGTCCACATTGAGGTCAAAAGGGTCCAAAATTAAACTTTGTTTGATTTCATCAAAAATTGAATTCCTGGGGTTCTTTGATATGCTGAATCTAACCATGTATTTAGATTTTGGATATTGGACCATAATAGGTGAATGTCCAATTTAAAATTTTTAAGTTCTTAGACCACATTCATTCTGTGTCAGAAACCTATGCTGTGTCAAATATTTAATCACAATCCAAATGCAAAGCTGTATCAAGCTTGAATGTTGTGTCCATACTTGCCCCAACTGTTCAGGGTTCGACCTCTGCGGTCGTATCAAGCTGCGCCTTGCGGAGCATTTTATTTAGATAATTTTGCATAATGGTAATAGACACATACTGAAGAAAGACCCATGACCCACATTCAATAATTAAACTTCCCTTCCTACACTCCCACATACATTTTAATGGAATAGCCCTAAATATCTTGTAAAACATAGACATGATAGAATATTATTCTTAATAATGACATTTCTGAATTTATTTCAGGCATTAGAACGTGGAATATACTTTGAAATCCAGTATAGTCCTGCTATAAGAGATAGTACAAGTAGAAAATATATGATAGCAAATGCACAGACTTTGATAAGAGTTTGCAAAGGAAAGGTTAGTTAAACTAAATATCAAAGTTGTTTTCATGGTTCAGCGACTGCTCAAAAAAAGTGAATATTGTTTTTTGTCATGTGAATTTCTCTCTTATTATGAGTAAAAGGATAGTTATATTTGGTACATGGCCATGATGGGATTCTTTGGGTAAAAGGATAGTTATATACATGGGATTCTTGTAAGGTCTACATTTATGTCATACAGGTTTTAAACTTTTGTCAGAATAATTACATGTATTTATCCCCATGAGCAGAAATTTCATAATGGATTAATGGTCACAAGTTATATCCACATGGAGATTTCCTTGATAATCCATATGATACTCAAGGTTGAATTGAATTCAGTATAATTTTGTTTGGACCAAAGCTATTAATGATATTTGTTTTTCAACAATGTAGATTGTGTAGCAGTGGCATATGGTGATTTTTGTGTCTTCATTCATCACTTCATTTGTTCCTCCAAACACAATATGTATCTTTCAAATGAATATGTTTTATAGTAATGACAATGAAATAATTTTTTTTATATTTTTCTTTTAAATTGAAAAAAATAACCAAGGAAATATAAGATGAGAAATATAGATTCCAACATTGCATCAAGTGTGTTATGATATTTCTCCACTTGAGACAGTTAAATTTTTTAATTTTTAATTATTTAATTTTTAAATATTAAGAATGTAACTGTTGAGAGTAGAGAAATATCATAATACATGAGATATAGTGGTGGAATCTGTTTCTCTAATGATTTTAAGACGATATCTTAACAAGTTTATCCTTCCTCTTCAAAGATTTGCATAAAGTTGTGTTCTTTATATGTGACGTCACAATAGGAAATTCAGAAAATTTGCTGGCATAATTGAAATTTGGAGCAATCATTTGTTGAGAACAAAGTTTTCTCTAGAGAGGAGAAATATTTTTCTCAAACCAATTGAGACATGTGAAAATATCATGAAAATTAGAGAAAACAAAATTAAATTTATTCAGCAATGATGTCTGCAATATGGATAAAAGTTAATTTCTTGAGCTGTTAATTTCTATTTCAGAATGTGATCTTTAGCAGTGGCTGTCAAAAGGTGAGTTTTATTTTCAAGGTACTTGTAAATGGAATCAATGAGGGAAACCAAACAAAACTTGTTTGATGCATATTCATAATAATGGAGTCAGCTGTCAGATACACCTTTTTTAATCTGTCCCTGTTTTTGTCTCACCTGTGACCAAAGTCTCAGTATGCAAGACATAGTTATTACTATCCGACAGCGGTGGCGACGGTGATGTCAAGTATTTGCATAAAGCTTTATATTTCAGAAGGTAGAAGACCTGGATGCTTCATACCTTGTATGTAGATACCTAATGTTTCAAAGTTAGTTTCTGTCTGTCATATGTCCATTGTCCTAGACTTCATTTTCATGGTTCAGTGACTGCTTGAAAAAAAGTAATAGTTTTTTTGTCATGTGAATTTCTCACTTATTATGAGTAATAGAAAAACTATATTTGGTATATGGGTTCCTTGCAACAACAAGATGTTCATCAGACAGGGTTCACCTGACCTCGACCTCATTTCATGTATCAGTGATCAAGGTTAAAGTTATGGGATAAGGTCTGTTTCTCAGATACTATAAGCAGTAGGTCAACTATATGTGGTGTATGGATTATAAGGGGTACACGTCTGTCTGGTAGGTTTCATCTTAATCTTGTCCTCACTTTCATGGTTCATTGGTCTGTGTTAAGTTTTTGTGTTTGGTCTGTTTTTCAAGTACTATAAGCAATAGGTCAACTATATGTGATGCATGGAATGATTGTAAGGGGTACATGTCTGTCTGGTAGGTTTCATCTTAATCTTGACCTCACTTTCATGGTTCATTTGTCAATGTTAGGTTTTTGTGTTATGGTCTGTTTTTCAAGTACTATAAGCTAAAGCTCAAGTATAATTGGTTTATGGAATGATTGTAAGGTGTACATGTCTGTCTAGCAGGTATCATCTGATCTTGACCTCATTTTATGGTTCATTGGTCAATGTTAAGTTTTTGTGTTTTGGTCTGATTTACAAAAATTAATAGCAAAAGGTCAGCTAAATCTGGTGTATGGAATATATTGTAAGGTGTACATGTCTCGGTAAAACCTCACCTTTCCCCAGTTTCTTAGCCTCATACAAAAAAGTTTATATTTTTCTGACATTGACCTAATATTGTTTTTATACTGCAACTTAAATTGATACAATGATAGCTATTAAAATTGTAACACAAATT